TTTGCTTCTCCAAGTGTGGTCCCTAGCATTCTCTGGAAGCTTGTGAGAAACGCAGACTCTCAGGTTCTACCCCAGACCTGATGAATCACAATCTGCATGTACTAGGTTCCCAAATGATTTAAGTGCACATTAAAGTTGGAGGAAACTGGTTTAGAGAACAACAGAAATCTTCGGCAAATTCCTTTATCTCCCAGGTTGAAATTTTTATAGTCTATATGCCATAAACTGCCCTATCCAAAAAGACCATCAGGAATAGTCTCATCATAATTGGGGGCAGCAACAGCAGAAAGTGCGAAGGCAGTGGGGATCTTTATTCCTAGACAGTAATAATGGAATGTTCATTCTAAATGGGTGCAAAAATCTGGCTATTGTCCATAGATGTAAACAACAAGAACCATCAAGTCAGATAAGAGTACAAACGCCTCTAGCAGCAGCTTGTCCCTAAGATAAGGAGTCTGCTGGCTCAGAAATGGATATGGGTAGGCAGGAAAAAAGGTCCATAAAAGCCAAGCGGATCCATCTTCACTCACAAACCCTAGCCCTTTCCTTTGACTCTCTCTGCCACTGTCTCCTTGACAAGCTCTGAAAAGACCTTGCTGGGGCTAAAGTCTAAAGTTGTATTATCCAATATGCTGTAAATGCCATGGAGTCGATTCCAACCCATAGTGACCCTGTATGAGGTTTCCAAGGAGCAGCTGGTGAGCTTGAACCGCCGACCTTGCAGTTCAAATGGCTTTGCAGTCTGTTGCATTAGCCCACAGCACCACACCAGGACTCCAATTATCCAATATAGTAACCACTAAATTAAATTAATACAAAAACTAAAACTTAATTGTTTTTTAAAGTTAAGTTTTATGAGCCATACATATTTCAAGTGCTCATAGCTACACTCAATGTGAATGGTGGCAGTTGTATGACATCAAGCCAGTTCCGATTCAAAGTGACCCCATCCACAGTTTCTGAGGGTGCAAAACTTTACCGGAGCAAAAAGCCTCATCTTTCTCCCACAAAGTGACTGGTATATTTGCAGTGCTGACCTTGTGGTTAACGGCCAAACACATAACCCACTACACTACCAGGAGTCATTCTCAATGAGACTTGTTGTTGTTGTTAAGTGTCATTGAGTCGGTTCCGACCCACAGCGACCCTGTAGAGGGTTTCCAAGGAGCAGCTGGTGAGCTTGAACCACCAATCTTGCAGTTCATACCGACTTTGCAGCCACACCAGGACTATTAGTGACTACCATATTGGACAGACATATCATGAATATTTCTATCATTACAGATATAAATGGTGGTAGTCTAAAAAGAATCCCCAGTCCCTTCTTAGGTTTTAAAGTTTATGCAACTAGCAGATTCTTAGAATCCAAACATATATATACAACTCTATACCAAGGAGTCCTGGTGTGGCGCTGTGTATTAATGTACTGTTAAAAGTCATTTAGAACCGTAAGGTCAGTGGTTCAAGATCACCAGCTCGGGAACCCTATGCAGGGTCGCTAAGTATTGGAACCAACTCGAGAGCAGTCAACAACAACATACCAAACCAAACACACTGCCATTGACTCATAGTAACTTTATAGGACAACACAGAACTGTTCCTTAGGGTTTCCAACCTCAGATCTTGTGGTTGCAGTCCAGTGCTAACCCACAGTGCCATCAGGACTCTTTACAACTCTATGCAGCATTATTGGTACATAAAGTAACAGTGATATTCAGCACAGTTTCATACAAAGATCATTCTCAGAGATTGAATTCTATAAAGACTCTACTGCTAGAAGCTCTGGGAAATAAAAAGATTAAGAAGTATGAACTATGTGCCATATACTCCAAACCAGATGCCATATATTCCATTCCACCTCATGGCAACCCCATATGTTTAAAAGTACAACTGTGCTGCAGAGAGGTTTTCAATGACTGACTTTTCTGAAGTAGACTGCCATGCCTTGCTGGTGAGGCACCTCTGGATGGGCTGGAAACTCCAACTTTTCTGTTAGCAGTTGAGCATATTAGCCATTTGCACCACCCAGGGAGTCTAAACAGTGCTGGTGTGGTACTGCCGGTTAGTTAATAAGCTGGACTACAAGGTCAGTTTAAACCACAAGGTCAGCAGTTCGAGCTCACCAGCTGTTCCGCAAAAACCGTATACAGGATCCCTATGAGTTGGAATCAACCTGAAGACACACAACAACAGAAGTCTAAGCAAGTAATTAGGGAAAAGCATTAGCACAAAAGAGAAGCATGAAAATGAATCAACTAACCCCAAAAGAAACATGAATAATTCAGGGAAGTGAAGAGTATGTATGTGCTCTTAAAAAAAGAAAACTCATTAATATTTTCAAGAGGCAAGCATAAAACATGTAAGAAACAATCAAAGGACAAAAAAGAGTTCTTAGATATTAAACTACACTTCAACAAATAAAAAATTCAATGGCCAAACTGAATTATACATAGAAACGCTGAAGATAAAAGTTACAGATCTGGGAAGAAAAATGGAGATGGAAAATACTAGAAAAATGCAGAGACATAGATTATAAATTCAAGAAGTTTATCCAGTTAAGAGGAATAGCAAAGAAAGCAAACGGGAACAAAAGAACATAATTTCCCTGAGTTAAAAAGACAGATTGATAAAAGCCAAGCAAGAAGAAAGAATAAAGACTCACACCTAGGTATATCCCAGGAAGGATTCAAAACTTCAAGAAGAGAGAAAACACTAATACGAAAAAAGGAAAATGAGACTAGTAGTATAAGACTTCTGATCAGTTGCAACAGAATCCAGAAGACAATGAAACATCTTTAAAATTCACAAAGTTTTACAGACTATTTCATAAATCTAAGATGCCAGATTTTTTACATATCAGAAAAGATGGCTAAGTGAATTATGAGATGCCACTGGAGTCCTGGTGTGGCACCATGGGTTAATGCGCCAGACTACAAAGCCATTTGAACTGCAAGGTTGGCAGTTCAAGCTCACCAGCTACTCCTCAGAAACCCTACACAGGGTCCCTATGGGTCAGAACCGACTCCATAGCACTTAACAACAACAAATGATTATTAGATCCTAATTTCAAAGACAATGGGGCAAAGATAATTTCAGAGAAAACATTCCAAAAAAATCACAACTTATAATCAATGAAATATGATACCTGTGTTTTGTCAATTTATCAATCCAAATTCATTCTCAGATATGCAACTCTACTACTCATGCCCCTCTGGGGTAAAAACTTAAATATGTGAAAAAAACTACTTGAGTAGGTACTTTAGCAAAGCAAGAAAGAAATTCTAAGAGGGTAGCATGATCCATATAAATTAAATATTAAATGAGAAGAAGTAAAAGCATAAAAGAAAAATAAACTGTGTTTCATTACACTGGGATGCACAAAGAGTAACATATTTAAAGAGGAATATTTTCAGAACATTTGGGGCCATTTCCTGTTTCAACCATCTTACTAACTGTAGAAAGAGTAATACTTACACAACCTAAAAAACATACAAATGCCATTTATGGGTTCTTAATTTTTAAAAGCAATCCACAGAGGAAGTATCAGAATTAAAATTTAAGGAAAGAATAGAAATAATACAAACAGTATTAACTAGATAAAATTCAGTAAGTAAGCGTAAAAAAACAAAAACTTCATCTTACACAACAGAGATGCTGTCTCAAATTTACAAAACCAGAGATAGAAATACCAAAAAGTAGTGCTACAAAATGACACACCCCTTTATTAAACAAAAATACTAAAATCTGAAATGTATTGTTTCTTGACATAGCCTCCATGTAGCTCTATACGCTCTAACAGTTTCCTGGAGTCCTGATGTGGTCCTGTGGGGTAATGCACTGGAACGCCAGATTGGTTTGAACCACAGACAGTTCAAACTCATCAGCCACTCCTTGGAAACTCTACACAAGTTTGCTATAAGTCAGAACCAACTCAATGGCACTTTTAACAACAACACCCATTCCCTGGAGATTTCTGCACTCTTCAATTTGTTGTTGTTAAGTGCTGTCGAGTCGACTCCAATTCATAGCAACCCTGAAGAACAGCTGGTGAGTTTGAACTACGAACCTTATAGTTCAAATTGACCTTAAGGTCGAGTATTTATCCTACAGGCCTGCCTCTTCAATTTACACCATATCAAAATGACAGTTTGGGCATACCTGAAGGAGTCAAATCATTCCTTTTCAATGTTCTTTGAGTTTGGGGAACAAAAAGAAACCTGAAGGGGCAATATCAGGACTGTGGAATGAATGAGGTAAGGTTTGCCAATGAAATGCTCATAGGACAGTCCTTACTGCCTTACAGTGAGTAAAGTACATACACTATCATGAGAAAACAAAATCCTCAGTGCAACTCTCCTGACTTTTTCAACAGCGTAATTCTCCCTTTTTAAAAAAAAAAAAAACTTCTTCATAATAAGCCCTCATGGTCATTCTGTGTCCTTTGAGAAAATCTATCAAAATTATCCTTTTGGAATATTAAAACCAGTCACCATAACCTTCTAAGCTGAGCTCTTTGCCTTGAATTGAACTGGCCCAGCAGATCCCATCGGAAGCTACTGTTTCAATTAGACCTTTTTTTTTTTGAAGACACACTTGAATACAAATTAAGACAAGTGATTGTATAAACTGGAACACTGGTAGCAATACTTTTTCACTTTCCCTTGTAAAACTATATTATAAACAACTGGAAGCAGTTGTATCTAAAGGGTAGGTTTGATATTTGTTATCTCCAGTCCTGTCTGACTGTTTTTCATTTCTATTCTATACATGCATGGAGAAAATAAAAGCAATCAGACTGTCCAAAGGTAGACCTAGTGCAGTCATCAAAATGTCATAGGTGAGAGTTTTCTTATTCCATCTTTCAAAAACAGAAAACAAGGTTTCTGAAGAGTGCAGGTCACACTTCCAACTATGTGTAGCAAAAAAAGGTAAAATGATTTCAATCGAGTGTCACAGGACCAGTTTTACCTCAAAAGAAGTTAATTCACTGGAAGCCATACCTGTTAAGTTCTTGGAACACATAGCCAGTTTTTCCAAGTGACTGTTGATTTTCTCAATAGCTTGGATGTTCTTATTCTTCTTCAGGACATCTAAGGCCGATCGAGAATGTCGATCCAGCAAGGTGGGGTCTGCCCCATAGTGCAGGAGCATCTGAATATCCTCTGTTTGTCCTAGGGGACACCAAAATAAGAAGGGATTATCACGATTCCTTATATAAAGAGAGGTCTCCATGAGTGCTCTCCCTCCCAGTTCCTTGCCTGAGCAGTCCAGGCAAGGGGACCAGCATCCCTGTTTACAAAAACTGATCTGCCAGGCTTCCCTGAAGCAAGGAGTACAGCTTGTGTGACACGGGAAGGACAACAGCTTTTAAGAGGTTCACTAGTGACACTCCTCTCTACCTTTCTCCCCTCTCCTTGGCAACAAGCAAGGAGTGGGGAAGTCTAGTTACTAAGCAACAGTTACAGCTGTAAAGATAACAGCAAGCTCTGACTTCAGATTTCTTTATTCCCTAGAGAGGTTTAGACTATTCTTTCATGGGAAAAAAAATCCTGGTCTGGGCACAGGAGAAGAAAGTATCAATTGCTACTGACGTCTTTTTGCTATCAGAGTTACCAAGCTGCCGGTCCCAACCCCCTGACTGCCAACTCCATTAGCTACTCTGATATATCTATCTGCCGTGCCTCAAGGTGGCTCTCTGATAATGGACACAACAGTGTTACAAAAGGAACACATTTGTCCTTCAGAGTGTACAAAGACTTCCATGGGCACAGAGAGTTAAAAGAAGCAAAGCTTGAGTCCCAACTTCTATATGAATGCTTTCCTAAAATTAACCACCCAGCATCACACTGCTCATGGTTTTCTTTCTCATCTGCCCAGCCACAACTAGTCTTCTTCTACATTGTTGTTTGTGAAGTGCCGTCGAGTCGATTCCGACCCATAGCGACCTTGTATAGGATTTCTGAGATGCTGATGGTGAGTTTGAATGGCCAACCTTGCAGTTCAAACAGTTTTGCAGTCTGGCACATTAACCCACAGCGCCACACCAGGACTCCTCTTCCACATTACAAAACCAAAATTAAAAAGTCAAACTTCTTACCCACTGGCTATCTTATTGAGGCAGAATTCCTAGATGGTCCTCAAGTTTTCAGATTGCTGGTGAACACACACTTTCTCCCAGTTATTCAAACACTAATCTAAATACTGCTGTGAGACTTTGAAAATGTAATTAAGGTTCCAAATTAACTGTTCTTAATACAGGGCAATTGTCCTGGTCAACCTGACCTAATCATGTCAGACAAAGAAATCAAAGGTCTATATGTCACAAACAGAAGACGTTATAGATTCAACGTATAAGAATAATCTGATGCACAAGTGATTCTCCACTGGTGATTTTGGAGTTGAAGAAAGCTAGGTATCAAGAAATGTAGGTGGCCTGTAGAAGCTAAGAATGGCCCTTGGCTGACAGTCAATAAGGAATAGGCACTAGATGCTTCCAAACTATGTGGATTTAATTCTTCCAGAGCCTTTGCAGTGTATAGGACCTTAGGTGGAATCCTGGGACCCATCCAGAACCTCCTGAGGTGGGACATTCCCATTTGAAAGGACAAGTAGATCAGTCTGGAGCAGCTAGAGGACCATAAAACACTTCTTGAAAGAAATACCAGCAAGGAAAAAAAAAAAAAAATGCAGTCTGACTAGCTACTATAAGAACATGCAAGTTGTTTGCCTGGGAGCCATCAAGGTAAGCAATCAAATCTCTTCAGACCAAACCCTCCTCCAAGACTGAAATGAAGGGAACATAGGAGCAGGTATGTAAGCTTGTTGGCAACCACGTTGGTCTACGGGTGAGTGGAAGTGGGGGAAGAGCAGCAATAAAGATATGGGCTAAATTTGACCACGTTCTGTAGACTCCAGTCGACCTGGAGATGAGAAAAAGGAAGGGTTGGTTGGTCTGAAGTATAGTGAGACCTGGGAAATTCTGAGCCCATGGACATTAACCAATCCATAGAGGGCTAGAGTTGAGAGTGAAGAGTCCAGTTGACAGGAAGTGAGGGGAGACGTACAAGAATGCCCAAACTTGCAGATAATACCCATTTGACCTAGCTTTAATGGTTTGATCATCAGAATTCGATTAGAGGAAGAGAAAACATTTCTGATAAAGGAAACAAGTGTAAATTGCTACAATTTGAGAACCCTGACCTATACTTACTTATGGATGTAGTAGCTCAAAATACCAACTGAGAGGGAAGGAATCCTCACATCAAGGAGCAATCCTATCTCCTCTGTACACAGAGTAGATAGGGATGGGCAACTTAGACATTGGCTACCTAAAGTGGGGCGAAGGGGAGGGGGAGACAATAAAGGCACGAAGTGACTGGCTTACAGGTTTTCAAGTGGGAATTTAGTTTCAGAGTGTACAGAGGAAGGTAGAACCCCGCCCCCCCACTCCCATTGTACATGCACACAATGGAATACTACGCAAACTTGAAGAATAAACAATGAATCTACAAAACACCTCATTACATGGATGAATCTTTAGGACATAATGAGAGTGAAATTAGTCAATCACAAAAGGACAAATATTCCATGAGACCGTTATTGGTTAAGAAAAGATTACCATACTAAAAGAAATACTCTTTGATGGTTACCATATATGGGAGGGAGGGGAGAGCAATTCACTGGTTAAGGGGTAGACACATGTTTGCTCCAGTAACTGAAGGGCAATATACAAGGAGTGTAAAGGTGGCATATGGGCAATGAAGATAGAGGAAGACTTGAGGTATGCTTGGATTAAATGAGATAGAGGTAATTAGTGATTTATACACAACCTTAGAAAAACAGTGTTCTGTGATACAAGGATTGAGACATAGTCTGAATGGGTAAAGGAGGGGGGAAATGTTTAGGTGCATGCCTGTTTTGTGGATACTGTTTTCCCCTACCTACTACTGTAAAATAAAAATTTAAGTGTGATAGAAATGATTATTGGGAATTATGATTACAAATCATTTATAAGCCCATCTTCAGCTTATAACTGATTAGATGAGCTAAAAGGAGAATTAGAATTTGCCCAGGGCACCAGGTTTCTTGTTAAATCTTTGTGAAGTATGGGGCCTTAGGTGGAATCCTGAGCCCAACCTAGAACTTTCTAAAGTGGGAAATTCCCACTTGCAAAACCATGCAGATGAACCCAGATGGCTGAGAGAATAGAAGTTTCTTATTGAAAGAAAGGCTAGCAGGGGAAAAAAAGCATCTGTTTGGTTGTTAGAATATCAAGCAAGCTGTTTGCCTTAGAAATATCTAGATAAGAAAAGTCAGTCCAAAAAGGGAGACCCCGTTCTAAGACTGAAATATAAAGGAAACCTGAGCATAGTCTAGTATGCTTACAGGTGACAAGCCTGGTCTAATACATCGTGGAGTGGGGAACATACAGAAATGAAGACATGGGCTTGTTTGGTCTTGTTCCATTAACACCCACTGACCTTGAAATGACATAGGGAAGTGGAAGGGTTGTTGTTATTAGGTGTCCTGGAGTTGGTACCAATTCATAGCGACATCACGCAAAACAGAATGAAACACTGGCCAGTCCTGTGCCAACCTCACAATCGTTGTAAAGCCTGCGTCCATTACTGCTGTTCCCTCTGTGCTAAACCATCTTGTTGGGTGTCTTCTTTTTTTCCAGTCCTCCACTTTACCAAACATGATATTCTTCTCCATGGACGATAATATGCCCGAAATATGAGAGAAGAAGTTGGGCCACCCTGGCTGCCAAGGAGCACTCTGGTGAAATGGTTGAACACTGACCATTTCTTTTGGCACAGTGACTCTGTGTATTCCTTCCATCTTCTTTTGATGCTTTCTGCATCATTCAGTATTTTGCCTATAGAATCCTTCATTATTTCAACTCAAGGCTTTAATTTTTCTTCAGTTCTCTCTGCTTGAGAAATGCTATGTGTGTTTTTCCCTTTTGATTTTCTAACTCCTGGCCTTTAAACATTTCATTATTAATACTTTACTTTTTCTTCTTGAGCTGACCTTTGAAATTTTCTGTTCAACTCTTTTACCTCCTCATTTCTTTCATTTGCTTTAGCATCTCTACGCTGGAGATCAAGTTTCAGAGTGTGTTCTGGCATTCACTTTGGTTTTTTTTTTTTTTTTTCTTTCTTGCCTTCTTAATGACCTTTTGCTTTCTTCCTGTATTATGTTCTTGATTTATTCCACAAGTCTTCTGATCTTTGGTCTTTAGTGTCTAATGCATCGAATCTGTTCTTCATGTGATCTCTAAATTCAGGTAGGTTACATTCAAGGTCATATTTTGGTTCTCGTGTATTTGTTTTAATTTTCTTCAGATTCAGTCTGAACCTGCAAGTGAATAATTGATTATCTGTTTCACAAACGGCCCCTGGCCTTGTTTTGGCTGACGATATAGAGCTTTTCCAGTGTCTCTTTCCGCAGATGTAGTCAATTTGATTTCTGGACATTCCATCTGGTGAGGTCCATGTGTATAGTTGTCTTTTCTGTTGTTTTAAAAAAAGGTATTTGCAATGAAGAACTCATTGGTCTTGCAAAATTCTATCATGTAATCTCCAGTATCGTTTCTATCACCAAGGCCATATTTTCTGACTACTGATCCTTCCTCTGATCCTTTCCAACCTTTGCATTCCAATCGTCAATAACTATCAATACATCTTGATTGCTACACCTTGTTTGATAAATTTCAGACTGAAGAAGTTGGTAAAATTCTTCAATTTCATCATAACTGGCATTAGTGCTTGGTGCTTACATTTGAGTAATAGTATTACTTGGTCTTCCTGGTAGGTGTATGGATATTATCCTATCACAGACTGCATTGTACTTCAAGAAAGACCTTGAAATGTTCTTTTTCATGGTGAATGCAGTGCCAGTCTTCCTCAATTTGTCATTCTCAGTATAGTACACCATATGACTGTCATATTTAAAATGGCCAATACCAGTCCATTTCAGCTCACTAATGTCTAGGATATCAATGTTTATACGTTACATTTTATTTTTGACAATTTCCAATTTTCCTAGATTCATACCTCATACATTCCACTTTCCAGTTACGAATGAACGTTTACAGATGTTTCTCTTCATTTTGAGTTGTGCCCCATCAGCAAATTACGGTCCCAAAAGTTTAACTCCATTTGAATCATCATGGCCAACTCCACTTTGAGGAGGTAGCATTTCCCCAGTCATGTTTTAAGTGTCTTTCAACCTGAGTGTCTCAACTTCCAGCACTGTATCTGACAGTATTCTGGCGCTATTCAGAATGTTTCAATATTTAATATTCTGGAGGTATCTGACAGTGTCCCACTGCTATTGATGTGGTTTTCAGTGGGTAAACATTCATAAGCAGTCTGGCTCACCTTCTTCCTAGTCTGTCTTAGTCTGGAAGATCCACTGAAACCTGTCCACCATGGGTGAACCTGCTGGTATTTAAAATACCAATGGCATGGCTTCCAGCATCACGACAACACAAAACAACAGCAAACTGACAGATGAGTGGGGCAAACACTGCTGGTAGGAATGTAAATTAGTACAGCTACTTTGGAAAACAGTTTGGCAGCTACTCAAAAGATTAAACACGGAATTTCATATAAGCTGTCAATTCCATGTATTTTCATTTACTTGGGTAGACATCTAAGAAAATGAAAGTATATGCCCACATAAAACACAAATACATGCCTACATAAAACGAATGTTCACAGCAGCATTATTCATAACAACCAAACGTGGAAGCAGAATCCATACATACATCAACGTATAAATGGAAACACAAAATGGGATAAATTCAAGAGAACATTATTCAACCATAAAAAAGGAATGAAGCACTGATGTATGTATGTATGCTACAGCATAAATGAACTTTGACATCATCACACTCTGTATTCTGCTGTATATATTCTCAATAACAAAAATTAAATAATTTTTTTAAATGAACAGTTTTTCTTAATGGGTGCCTGCATCACTCTTTCAAGTGTCTTTTATGGTCCTGTTAGATATGTGAGAATGCCAATTCCTGTGCTAGACCCTACGTCCTATGAAGGCAACACCAAGTCTGCTGTCTGGTTCATAATTTATCTATGGTGGCCATCACAAGATTTAGCATAAAATAAAGCACTTAGGAACCATGTGATGAGTGAGAGCAAATGCAGCTGGAAGCCCAGGGCCCTGAGTAGTCTAATCTCACAGAAATTACAAGGAGCCTAGCATTTCTTCCTTCTCTCATGCCACATCAATTTTGCATACAGTCTACCTTCTCAGTCACCTTTAATTTGAAGGAAAGTTTAGCCCTCTGGGCTTAGTCACAGAATTACTATTGCCAGTATTGTCAAATAGACTATAACTCATTTGTATGTCATGTGTGTCAGAGTAGAACTGTGTTGCATAAGATTTTGGGTGGCTGGTTTTTGCTAGGCCTTTCTTCCTTCCTTCCTAAGCACGCCAGAGTGAATGACTTTTCAAACAACAAATCATTCAGTGAACAGCCAAGAACACTAACATATGAGCCACCCAGAGATACTCCTGTCACGGGATGCACAGGTAAGACGCAGAGTCAGTTGTGTGGGTTTTATAATGTGTGAGATCTTCCAGCCCACAACAAACCCTCTGGGCCATTGGGTCCTGGGGCTGGGGAGGCTGTCAGAACTTACGCTTATTAAGGTATCCTGGAGCGTGGGAAGCAACAATGTGCAAAACTGTGCAGCCATCCTCGTCCTTCTGGTTGATTCGACCTTTCCACCCTGGTTTGCGGTTCATTATCCACTTGAAAAGGTGATTTTCTCCTGAAGAGAATTAAAATGAGTTACTAAAGTTTTATTATACATGCAGAAAATCAGCAAAGAAAATCAATGCATACCACAGTAAAGGAACGAAATGGGAAATCTAACACATTACTACTCAGGTGTGGGGAGACACAGATATTGGTAAAAATTGAGGAGTTATAGAAAGCTGTTCATAATAACCTTAGGTCAAGTTCCCTAGATGCACAGCTGAGACAGGGATTCTTGTGCAAGTGATGTACTGAAAGGGAGAGATCTCAAGAGAAAGAGTATGAGGGAAAGGGCAGAATAAGGAGCTGAGCAACAATGGGCTCTCAGCTGGAATCTACTTAGGTCTGATCCCAGGAGGAGATCTGGAGTATAAATTACTCCATGGAGTTGGTCCCACCTTGAAGCAAGGAAGCCTGTCTTTTGTACCCCATGTCAGTCAGTCATGAGTTGAAGAATGCCCATAAGGTGAGCGGAATATTCAGAGAATAACTTCCTGAGAAGTGGTGAGCTGTTAGCAGCCAACACTCACAGCAGCTGGAGAGAAGAGGAACTATGTGAGGCCCCAGGGTTTCTTGTTCCTAGACAGATGCTGGCAAAAGAGTGACGTCAGTATCTCTGATTTTAAACTTAGCATATCGCATTACTATCTATAGTAATTATAGTAACCATTACTATAATTAAGTTCTCCTTCCACACTCCTGAGATTGAGGAAAGCCACAAACCTCTGTAGCTGCATCAGTTTTTCTGAGAAGCTAACCAGAGATAACCTTGAAGACTTGACCCACAGAATCACACATAATGATGTAAATCAAGAGATTTAAATCTTCAAGTCCATTTTAAGACACTCATGAAACTGTCCAGGCCATTAAGAGCATATATATCTGAAAAGCCACCAAGTACCTGAAAGATGTCACTTTGCAGAAATAATGTGAGCCATTCCAATGTTATACTGGTGGAGTCGGTAAGTGTGCCCAGGCCAAACAAAGAGGTTGGGCACAGGGTCAATGGCCCAAAAAGAGTGCTGAATTTTTGCTGCACATGTTTGAAAATGCAGAGAGTAATGTTGAACTTATGGATTTAGATGTGGATTCTCTGGTCATTGAGCACATCCAGGTGAACAAAGCTCCCAAGATGCACCACTGCACTTACAGACCTCATGGCTGGATCAAGCCCTATCTGAGCTCCCCCTGCCACATTAAGATGATCATTACTGAAAAGAAACAAATTACTCCAAAACCATAAGAGAAAGTTACACAAAAGAAAGAGATATCCCAGAAGACACTGAAGAAACAAAAATGGATGGCTCAGAGGTAAATTAAGCTTAAAATAAAATGCAAATAAAGGTAATAATATTTTTTAAAATAAAATATTGTATGGATTCTACAAAATATAAAATGGATGACATTTGGTAAAGCAAAGATGGGACACCAAGATCCCAAGTCCCTGGTCACTGCCCACCCCTACTCAATAACTCCAGAAAATGATTCAGCTAAGAAGATGTAGACTAGATTAGACTAGCAAGGTTTTGGTGCCCCTTCCAGCTCTAAAATGGTATAGCTAAATTTTCAAAAGTGGTGCCACATATGCCTGGAAAAGAAAAACAAGCTTCCATATAAAGTGGGATGGTGGCCAGAGGATTTAATAATATAAAAATAGCTTAAAATGTAAATCCTATAGCCAAGTGGTAACGTTTTAAAGAAACAGTTCCATGAAAAAATACAGTTCTTTAAAAGAACCACAGTCAAAAAACATCATCAGTAATCTGTGTTACCCTTGGGTTCCCCAGTCATACTCCCAGAACCCAACAGTTGGCTCTCTGGAGAGTAAAGGACCAGAATAAAGAAGCTTCACAGCTCTCCTGGGAGCTCTGTCTTGCAGCAACTATCCACCCCACAAGCTCTCTCGTTGGGTCCCAGGACTCCATCCCGTTGTCAGGATCTGTCCAGGAACGTGAAATCCTTTCATTTGAGGCCTCTTTTGGTCACAAAAGAAATAAAATGATGCTATTTCTTAGCTTCCTATCTTCCAATTCAAGTCACTAAATTCTGCTTTCCCTTGAGCTCAGCAGAGTGTCCCTATGCTGAAGGGGCAGCTTAGAAGGCATGAAACTGGAGGAATACTCACTTGCTTGGATACAGAGTCGTATGACGGCATGAAGAGGGTATGGTCCAATACTCTCAGCACTTGCACCAATGGAGATGAGCCACTGGACTAACTGGGGCACTTGATTAATATGCTTAGAAAGTCCAGTGATGACACATTTCTGAAAATAAAAAGAAATGCAGGACAAATCATGAAAGTCTCCACATCATTATGAAACTTCAAACTCCTTTAGCCATAAAGCTTGGAATCAGTGAAACCTGAATTAGCTATGGCCCATGTTGAAGATACAAAAAACAAATTTGTGGCAAGGCAGCTAAAGAGGAAGGCCCCAAATAACAATAACCTTACCTCAAAAAGACTTTTCAGTGATAATTCTGGGACATGAATATCACTTGGTATTCGGTCTTTTCTTTCTGACAGAAGTAGAAATGACTGATGGGAAGGGAGAAAAAGACAAAGCTGAATAATAACATTCTCTAGATAGGTTATTAGAGGAAAACTTAACTTAAGGTTAAAAAATAAATGAAAAGGTTCATACATACTTATAACAATGAAATATTACTTGGCCATGAAGAAAAATGAAGTTATGTACATGCATGCACAACTAGAAGGAATCTTGAGAACATTATGCTGAATGAACTAAGTCAGCCACAGACAGACAAATACTGTATGATCTCATCAATACAAAATAATAGTGGTTACTACAGTGAGAAGAAAGGGTAAAAAGAGAGAAATTATTTAAGAAGCACTTATTTAGTCCTGTCAAGTCTGTTCTGGTTGATAATGACCCTGTGTAGGGTGTCTGAGGAGCAGCTGGTGGGTTTGAACCATCAACCTTGTGATTGGCAGTCCAGTACTTATCATACAGCACCACATCAGGAAGCCAAAGGCACAAAGTTGATGTTAATGGTGGTATAATAACAGAGAAAAGGGCAGTGATAATGGCTGAGCAACATGAAGGAAGTAATCAATACCAATGAATTCTCAAAACCCACTGGTATCAAGTCAATTATGACTCATAGCAACCCTAAACAGGGTTTCTGAGACTGTAAATATTTATGGAAGCAGATAGTCTCATCTTTCTCCCTCAAAGTAACTGGTGGTTTTGAATTGCTGATACTGTGATTAGGAGCCCAGTGCTAATTATACTTGTAAAAATTGTTGAGTTATAAATGTTTCATGTACATCTGTATCATAATTTTAAAAAGAAAAAGCCCTTTAGCCTTGTCTCTTTTTACCTGCCACATTTTACCTTTGTCAGCTAATCAAAGTCTCTCTGTTCTTTTTGTAGGTTAAGCTCTTTCTGAATTTCCTCAGAGACTGCTGAGAACAGAGCAACTGATGTCAAGCAGCATGGTGGAAAGTACAGTGGCAGCAGGGAAAAGGTTCTAAAGCTATTTGGCCTGCCTGGATCTAGGGTCCTTGTGGTATCTTGCTTTTAGTGACTTTTCTGGATGTCCCTGCTTTTTTGAAGGCCCAGAAGGCACTTTCTAACCAAACTCCCAGACTTGACCAGCCCATGTTCATGAGTTCTTAGAGCTCAGCATTTAATTAGTCCAAAATAATAAGTGGAAGGTTAGCACTCAAGAAGACATCCATGTAACACTGAAATCTCAGCCCCATCCAGTCTGTTCCTCCATGCTGCATGGTCTAGGCTCTGGATTCAAGCCCTACACAGCCTCACTTAACTGGTACTCTCAGAAATCCTTTAAGCAACACAGCAAAACCCACACTAGCTAATGCAGTAATAAAAAATAAAAAGATTACAAAAATAAACATGCAAACAGAACTTAAATTCTTATGAAGCCCAGACTTTTATATGAATTGAAACTAGAGGATTCCCCAAGACTATCATCCTAAGACACTCTTCAAACCTCAAATCAAAATCATCCCTCAAGGTCACTTGTTAGATAAATAACAGATTAAATTTAAAAAATAAAGCTCATCCTTGAATACTGAGCTTTTTGAAATTTAAAAAAAAAAAAAAATCAAATAATTGAGACAAAAGAGTCAAAAATTACTCTAAAGCACAAATGAGATGGTACTGGGACAGGGAAATTAGAGTACTGGAAATGGTATCACCAGAACAGAGTGAATGAGAATCATGACACACTGTGGGAGATGGGACCAGCAGAACTGAATAACCTACATAGAAATATAATGGAAACCTAATTTGCTGTGCAAACTCTCACCTTAAACATAGTAAAAGAAATACATTAATAAACATGCAATTATTTACATTTTCTCATTTGATATTACCATTAGCATTTGAACTTTACATTTCTATGATTACATTGAGGGCACAGTAAGAATGCCACAAACTTAGTATTTTTCCTTTCTTAAAAAAACTGGGTATTAATATATCTCAATGACTTTACATCTTTACTGACATTCCAGTTACACAGTTAGTCTAGCATCAAGATAAATAAAGCATAACTCTCCAGGGTCGGAAGAAAGAAATCATTTCATCAAGGATACACTTTCCGTACAACACAGCCTTCTCCATTTACTTACACGCCATGAAGCTTTATTTGCCAACTTTTCTATTACAGATTGCCACACTTCGTTTGAAAATTCAGTAGTGAATAATTGTTCAAAGCTGGGGAAAAAACTTTGCAAAACAGCAGAATCACCTGAAAGAAAGATCCACAGTTTAGAATTTTTAATGTGCAGAAAGTCTATAAACATTTAGGAAAAGCTGGTCCAATTAAGACTACACAAGGACGATGGTAAACTAAAGATATCAGAATCCACTTCCATCGAGTTTATTCCAACTCACAGTAACCCTGCATAGAGTTTCCAAGGTTATAAATATTTACAGGAGCAGAAAGCCTCATCTTTCTTCCATGGAGCTGGTGGGTTTGAACTATGGACTGGGCAATTAGCAATCCAGTGTTTATCCGATAGCGCCACCAGCATGACTGACTAAAATGTCAACCATATTTAAGTTGCCATTAAAGACCCAGTGCAGTTGAGTCAGTTCCAACCCACAGCAATGCTGTATAGGCTTTTCCAAGGAACGGCTGATGACCTTGAACCACCAACCTTGTGGTTCAAACCAGCTTTGCAGCCCAGCATAATCACCCACAGTGTCACACCAGGACTCTGTATCAAGACCCATAAAATCAATCCCCTAAGAGTTAGGCAGTATCCTGTTTGCTAACATTTATTTAGCTTCTATTATTTGTGGAGAACAAACTAGTGTCTATTATCCCCATTTATAGAAGAAAAAGTGGAAGCTTAAGAGAAGTTATAAAACTCACTTCCTTTAAGAAGGATGTTATAAATATACTGTCAGCTAACAGATGAGAAACAGTGACAAATGAGGAGAGACTTTGTGGCATGTCATGTATATAAGTAAAACCAAGACTTGAACTCATATTTATCAGCTCTTTCTAGTCAATATATATTCTTCTAGCATGTTTCTTTTTATAATTCTTTAGATACTACATTAGGTAGTGTGGGTCTATGCTGCTTGGAGGATTTCTGTAAAACTTTGCTGTTGTTGTTGTTAAGTGCCAATGAGTTGGTTCTGACACACAGGGCCCCTGTAAAGGGTTTCCAAGGAGCAGCTGGTGAGTTGGAACCACCTACCTTGTGGCACAAACCAAACTCACGGTCGGGTGCCTATTCTATAGCACCAAACCAGGACTCCAAGAATATATATTGTATTTATATACATAAGTGTGTGTGTGTATGTATGTATGTATATATATATAATTCCTCCAGTGGTAAGGATTTTTGTTTTCTTTACATTGAGCTGCAACCCATAATAGAGGCAGTGATCACTGATCTTCATCAATAAGTATTTTAAGTCCTCTTTGCTTTCAGCAAGCAAGGTTGTATCACCTGCATATCACAGGTTGTAAATAAATCCTCGCCAGATGGAACACATAGAAATCAGATAGACTACATCTGTGGAAAGAGAAGATGGAAAAGCTCCATATCATCAGTGAAGACAAGGCCAGGGGCAGACTGTGGAACAGACCATCA